CAGTAGCCTACAGGCTCCAGGAATCCTGAGAGTATATGTGGCATTTTTCTATTCTCATAAAATCAGAGGGTTTGGGATGAACCTAAGAATGTTAAAAAAAAAACATGAAACATCAGAGCAACATCGATCTGTCACATACCCACACCCTGTAGAGTTTGCAAACCTCAGCTCATTTGCACCTCACACAACTCAGCCTGGGAACAGATATTCGGCCCATTTTACAGATAAGGAGCTGGAGGCTAGGTGAGTCACCCAACTCCGGTGAGTGCTGGAGCCCAAACTCAAGCCTCAAATCTTTGGACTCCGAAGCCCTGAAAAGTACAGACATGAGAAGATCAGATGCATAAGCAGGACGTGGTGTGGGAGGCGTGGGCCATGTGGAGAGAACTAGCTAGACCACCAGAGATTACAACAGGCAACTTGGGCAAATCAGTAATGATGTTAATTATGATCTAGTAGAATAATTACCTTATTAATACTTGGCTCACAAGTGCTTCAAATGTAGCACTCAGTAGAATTTCCCCTAAGCCTCAGAACACCCCCAATATATTAGTGGAGACTGGGTGATTGCCACACGAATAGAGAGAGGTGCCCAGAGGCCTGGAGCAGCTGAGTAATGGGTGAGGTGACACACAGCCAGACAGGGTCTGCGCCAGGGAAGGCTATGGGATTCTGAGGCCCCTGCATCACGTGGCCACCCAGCAGGCCCAGAGCCTTCCTGATGCTCAGGCTCTGACTTTGGCCCTCTCGCTGCTCGTTTCTTAGTTCTCTGCTTGTCTAGCTGCCAGGTGGTGACAGTCTGAGAGTCCCTCGATTCCAGCCCTTTGGGAAGGATGGAATGCGAGGGATGGGAGGGATGCTTTGAGGTCCTTCCACCACACCACCTGCTTCATGATCAGGGTGCTTAGATTCCTTCTTAAAATCCCATCCAACTTCCAGCAGCCGTCTGCCCACGTCCCACATGTCCTCCCCAGGCTTGCTCATGGATCCAAGATTTAGCTCTTAGCCCCACGGTGGAGACAGGGAGAATGGGAATTAATACTGTGACCTTTGTAAAGTTATTTAACCTCTCCAAGCCTCAGTTTACCTATATGTAAAATAGGAATACAAATCAATAGGGCATTAACTAAGGTAATTCCTTCAGTGGCCTTAAATCCGGTCATGGATAGAATGGGACATGCAGTAGGTCCCCTGGCAGTGATTCTGAAAGCAGGGACAAAACTGGCGTAAGCCCAGGGAAGGGCAGAGACCCCCCAGTCATACGACACAAGGCAGAAGTAATGCTCATTTGGCCTCAGACAAGAGCTCATTTCCAAGAATTTGTGGCAAAGGCAGTTAATCCCGAGATCCTGAGAATGCACAGCTTCAAAGAGCTTCCATTGGATGAGAATGTCAACTGGCTGAGCTGTTAAGAAGCATCTTCTCATCCATGCCATTGATGTATGGATAGAGTGAGGCTGACCAGAAGGACGGACAGGCAGGGGCTGAAGTGATTCTCAGCCCCCAAAGGGAAAGTCGAGGTGGTACCACTAGCCGGGACCTAGTGCCACCCCTTCTCAGCCACCAGTGCGTTGCCCTGTGTGTGGTTTGTCCTGATGGTCGCCTGCCTGCGGGCTGGTGCTGTGCTGGGAATGCGCTCTCCGTTGCACTTAAGATCTATTGTACTGTAGCTAGAAATGTGTTTCCTGGTGATGTCTACACTGGGCTGTCGGCTCAGTGAGGGCAGGGCCACATGGGGTTGGTCACCTGGCAGAATCCCAGGCACACACGAGGCATTCGCTGGATATTTGTGAATGGATGGATGGGTGCGTGGGCAAATGAGTTGAAGAGCAAAACTGGAATTTCAGGATACGGGCTGCCGTCCGAGAATGGCATCTGTGGAAGCGTCCAGTGTGGGGTCTTTTCTGTGGGACACGGGGCTTCCCTGGGACCTGCCACCCGCTGCCCTCACTCCCGCAAGGAAAACATTCCCACGCCAGTCACAGCCGCACCTTGCTTCTGGTGACGCAAAAGTGACTGCCCTGCCTGCCATCGATCCGTGATTTGTGGTCCTGGGGTCCCGGGGACCTGTGACTGTGCTGCCACCCAGGGCCGTTCCCAGGGCCCTGACCCTCCTGCCTTCCTGGGACTCAGCAGAGACAGGCCCCCGCCCCCGCCTGGCGAGGAGCGAGCTCTGGACTGGAGCCCCACAGCCTGTGTTCAGGCCTCAGCATCGCCTCTGGCCGCTGGGCCATCTTGAGGAGGCCCTGTGTCTGAGTCTCAGCTTTCTCAGCGGGGGTGTGGAGCAGCTGCCCGGAGGTCACCGTCACCAGAAGTCACTGTGAGGCAGTCAGTGCAGTGGCTGAGAGGGTGGGCCTGGCGCCAGACTCCCGGGGCTCCAGTCCCAGCTCTGCCACTGGGAGCTGTGAATTTCAGGAAGCGGTGTGACTACTCTAAGCCTCAGTTATGTCTTCAGTGAAATGGGTATAATAGTGACTCCTCCTTAATAAGGCTGTGGGACAGTTGGTTGGGTTAAAGCATGTGAAGCATATAGTACCTGGCACAGGCAAACTACTCCTTTAAATTAACTGCTGTATCAATATTGGGTTAGCCTAGATCAGTGGTCGGCAAACTGCAGCTCGCGAGTCACATGCGGCTCTTTGGCCCCTTGAGTGTGGCTCTTCCACAAAATACTGACTTCTGCGCATGGGCCACAAAGTTTCAATCGCACGTACAGCTGGTATTTTGTGGAAGAGCCACACTCAAGGGGCCAAAGAGCCGCATGTGACTCGTGAGCCGGTTTGCCGACCACTGGCCTAGATTGTCCTTGTGAGCTGTACTGAGCTGCCACACACACACAGACACACACAGACACACATGACCTGTGTGCTCCTCATCGATATGCGAGCCACAAGCCACCTGTGGCTGCTGAGCATGAGAAGTGCTGTAATGGTAAAAATATACACTTGATTTCAAAGACTTCTTGTTTACACATGTACAGTATCTCTTTAATGGTTTTTATATTCATTATGCGTGGAAACCAAAATACTTTGGATCTAAGTCAGTTAAATAAAATATACTATTCCACTTATTCCCACATAATCCTCTTCACATTTTCAAAGAACGGCTCCTGGAGCGCTGGTCTGGAAGCAGGAACCGTGGGCCGAGATCCTGCGCCTGCCCACGTCCTTCCCGGGACTGGCGGGCTGGTGGCAGGTCCCACGGGGAAAAAATGTCATTCCCATGAGCTCACACAATAGGTACTGTGTGCTGCCAGGGGAGACGGCCGCGCACAGCTCGGGCTTATTGTTATTATTATCACGACTTCGACATTCCCACAAGCACTGGAGGATAAACACTCAAATCAGATCCCGGTCTGCCCACCAGTTGCCAAACACAATTAGTGCAGAGACTGAACTGGGGGAGCAATCTGAGTGTTCTCCTGCCCCGAAAAACTTAGACATCCCTGGATGCCCCCCTCCGGTGTTACAGGTGGGAGAGATTCTGATGAGTTCCTTTATCTAACAAGTATTCATTGGCCACCTGCGGTGTGGACGGCACTGCCCTATTTGCCAAAGAAATAGCAGGGAGCGAGGCGGCAGAGCAGTCTTTTTCTAAGAGCTCAGCTTCTCAGGCAGCTCAGAGAGGGATGGTGCTGGGTGATGGTCATGCTGTGGAATACTACACAGCAGTGAAAAAGAACCACCACTACATGCACTAACCTGGGGGTTCTCATAGATGCAATATGGAGTAATAGCCAGATGAGAGAGAGAGAGAGAGAGAGAGAGAGAGAGAGAGAGAGAGAGACAGAGACAGACTATACTGTGTGATTCCATTTTTCTAAAGTTCAAGAACAGGCCAATGTAATCTACAGGGAGAGACGTCAAAGTGATGGTCACTTTGGGGAAGGACGCTTGAAAAGGAGGGAGCCTATAGGTGCTGGAACATTCGGATTTTGATCTGGGTGGTGGTTACACAGGCGTGTACTTTGGGAAGATGCATTCAGCTACATGTGAGATGTGTGTGCAGCTCAAGGCAAGGACGCTGTCGTCGTTATCTATTGCTGCATAACTAGTTGCCACAAAACTTAGCCGCTTGAAACACGAATTGTCATCAGCACACACCGTCCCTGTGGGTGAGGACCTGGCCTAGCTCGGAGGCTCTGGCTCAGGGCCTCTCATGAGGGTGCAGACGACATGGGCTGGGGCTGCATCGGCCACAGGCTTGACGGGCTGGTGGGCCTGCTTCCAAAGTAGCTCATTATGTTTGCCCAGCAAGTTAGTGCTGGTTAGCAACGTGAGGCCCTCTCCATGGGGCGGCTTGAGTGTCCTCATGACAGGTCAGCCAGCTTCCCCTGAAACTGGAGAGGGAAGAGAGAGAACAAGAAGGAAGCCAGGATGACTTTTATGACTTTGTCTCTAAAGTCACACCCATCACTGACCCATATTCCTTCAGTAGAATCAAGGCACTGGGTCCAGGCCACACACAAGGGGAGGGGAATGAAGCTGCACTCTTTTTTTTTTTTTTAATATATTTTATTGATTTTTTTACAGAGAGGAAGGGAGAGGGTTAGAGAGTTAGAAACATCGATGAGAGAGAAACATTGATCAGCTGCCTCCTCACACTCCCTACTGGGGATGTGCCCACAACCAAGGTACATGCCTTTGACTGGAATCGAACCTGGGACCCTTGAGTCCGCAGGCCGACACTCTATCCACTGAGCCAAACCGGTCAGGGCGAAGCTGCACTCTTTAAAAAGACTCGTAGCATGGGTTTGTGGGCATATTTCATGATAGAAGGTCATGGGCTTTAGGAAGCGGTGTTTGCTGTGCTCTGAGTAGGAGGAGTCGGCCATGTGATGATCAGGAGAAAAGCATCAAAGGCAGAGCGAGCAGCAAGTGCTTTGCAGCAGCAACGAGTGGGTGGAGACTCAGAAAGGGGACCACTGTGG